GGAAGGATCGCCGGAGCCCAGCAGGTCGAGGCTGCGGTGGCCGGGAGCGGCCACAGCACTCCAGTCTGGGCGACAGCGTGAGACTCCAACTCAAAAAAACCCCAAAAAACAAAAAAAACATAGCACACTACACAAGCCAACATATAAAATATTTACAACATACCAACTGGTGCATGGTGCTCTGGCAATCATGTCCCTGAGCTTAAAATCTGCTACAAAAGATTAAAACATAAATTGACCCTAACACTTAAATTTTGGCTTGCTCTAAAAGAGATCCACAGGTTATGGTGCACACATGTCTATAGGTAGAATGAAGACATCACTGGGAGGTGGGGTTTAGGTTTGCTTTGAGGAGCAATAAGGCACAGAAGAAGCATAATTCACAGAGCACTTGAGAAAGAAGACAGTTGCACGAGAGAGGGAAAACTCAAGACAGCAAAAATACGGAGGAATCCATTTTGGCAAACCAAGAGATCAAAGCTCAGGACACGGAGATGACTATCAGTCCTAGGAAACTTTCTATAGGACTTGAGAGACAATATAGATGAGATTTGATAAAATAATGATTTTCAAAGAAAAATCAGAAAACCAAATAATTCATTTTTTTCCACAGAGATCACAATGATGCTTTTCTATCATCTTTTCTATTTCTAATATGTCTTATCTCAATTGCCTGTCACAAAAATGCATTTACCAGGGTGCACCACAGAGTCCTGGGTCTTACCTATGAGATCGGTGGGGCCAGTTCCCAGGTTTTCTCCTCTGATTGTGACCTTTGTCCATGGTATTCCTTCATTTGGAGAGATGCCTGTCACAAGGGGGGGTTGTCGTGATCGAGACATTGTGCTTTGAGGAGAAAATTGGTGATTTTGTTGCAGAAGTAATCTGTTCAAAGAGAAAGAAAAGAAGAATTAGTACCAACCAAGATATGCACTGACTAGCAATACAAGAATGCCAGACATTCAGTAGCAAAACAGAAAAAGTATTCTTAAACATATAGTTCTGAATTTTTTAGCTGTCATTTAGCAAATCAGCCAACATCTACTGAACATTAAGTTACTAAGGACACTCTTGTAAGTAGTGAAAGAAATATGTAAGAAAAATAACAGAAAACTTGGCATTTGATTCTAAAACCCTTCAGTATTATGGAAAATGGGACCTACCTGTCACCAATTAGCTCCATGGCTACAACCATTGAATCCTAAATGTATACTAGGAACTGTTCTACTAGTCTATTCCTAAAGTTATTTAAGGAAGATATTCTGATTAAATTTATACAAAAAAATTAAAATGTGTTTATGTTTCCATAGGTGTGTATTGAATTATAGATTACTTTTGTATTTATGTAATGTAGCAACTCTTTTTAATGAGGTTTACATTTCGGTCTTTAATCCATTTAGTGTTGATTTTTGTATATGGTGATAGGTAGGGGTCCTGTTTCTTTCTTCTGCATGTGGTCTCTTTTTGGCAGGGAGATTTCTTATAACTAAGTCAATTTCCTGGATTGTTATTGATTTATTTAGGGTTTCAATTTATTCTTGTTTCAACCTTGGGAGATTGTATGATGCCAGGAAATCCTCCATTTCCTCTAGATTTTCTAGTATATTTGCAAACAGATATTCATACTAATGTCTGATAATCTTTTTAATTTCTTTGGGGTCAGATGTGACAGTACCTTTTTCATTTTTAATTGTGTTTATTTGAACTTTCTCTTTTTTCTAGTGATTATGGCTAGGGGTCTGTCAATTTTATTTATTCTTTCAAAAAAACCAGCTTTCTCTCTTGTTTATCCTTTCTATGATATTTTTGTCTTCTATCTCCTGCAACTGTGACTTTTATTTAGTAAACGAGATTTTTTCCTACTGAAATTAGTATTTAATTATTCTTGCCTTTCCAGCTTCCTTAGGTGTGACACTATGCTGTTTACTTGTGATCTATTTTCTTGATATGTGCATGTAATGCTATAAACTTCCCTCAACACTGATTTCATGGTATCCCAGGGAATTTGATATATTGTGCCTTTGTTGTCATTTGTTTCCAGGATTTTTAAAATTTCTGTCTTGATTTCTATGTTGATCCAAAAGTCATTCAGCAATATGCTGTTTAGTTTCCATGTATTTGTGTGATTTGAAGGGTTCCTAAAGGTGGTATTTATTTTTAATTTCATTGTGAACTGCAAAGATGCTTGGTATTATTTCAATGTTTTGAAATTTGTTCACACTTGATTTATGCATGAGAATGTGATCAATCCTGGAGTATGCTTCATGTGCTGATTAGTAGAACGTATACTCTTGTAGTTGCTGAGTAGAGTGTTCTGTAGATGTCTAGCTACAAGTGTGTCAAATTAAGGTTCTGGATCTCCTTAGGTGTGTTGTTGTTGCTGTTTTGCCTCAATGATCTGTCTAGGGCTGTTAGCGGGGTAGTAAAGTCTCCAACTACAATTGTATGGGTGTCTAGATCCTCTCTTAGTTTATGTAGCAACTGTTTCATAATTCTGGGTGCTCCTGTATTGGGTGCATATATATTTAAGGTGGATATTTCTTGCTGGTGGATTGAGCCTTTATCAGTATGTAGTGTCCTTCTGTGTCCTTTTTCACTTGTTTTAATTCTGTTCTGTCTGATATAAGAATAGCTACTCCTGCCCTTTTGTATTTTTCATTTGCCTGAAAAATCTTTTTCAAGCCCCTTACATTGAGCCTGTGGATGTCTTTTGCACTGAGATGGGTTTTCTTGGAGGCAGCAGATGTGGAATCATTTTATCCACTTTGTTACTCTATGCCTTTTTTAGTGGTGCATTCAGTCCATTCATGTTCAAGTTAATTATGCATATGTGGTGTTTATCCCTGTCATAATGCTTCTATGTTTTGCTTCCTTTTTTTGTTTTGTTTTAGCATTTGTGGATGATCTGTGTGCTCTCTTCACTCTGTTCTTGTCTATGCTTTTGCAACGGATGGAACTGATCTGTCATTTTTGTGCTCATAACTTTCTCAAGCATCTCCTAAAGGACTGGTCTGGAGGTGGCATATTCTTTTAGGGATTGGATGTCTGGAAAAGATTTTAATTCTGCATCACTTATGAAGCTTAGGCTCGATGGGGTAGGAAATTCTTGGCTAGAATTGTTTATCTTTTAGAACATTAAAGATGAGACTCCAGTTCCTTCTGATTTGTAGGGTTTCTGCTAAGAAGTCTGCTGCAATTCTGATGGATCTTCCCTGATAGGTCGTCTGACTCTTCTCTCTAGCTGCCTTTGGGAGTTTTTCTTTCATGCCTACCTTGTGGAAATGGATTGCTATGTGTGTTGGGGATGGTCTTCTCTCATGTACTATCTTGCAGGGGTTCTCTGAATCTCAGGTTTTCTAAACCTCTCTAGCAAGATATGGGGAATTTTTTTGGATGACCTCTTGGAAGACTTGTTCAAGGGTGTTCTCAGTTTCCCCTTCTGGCTCAGGAATGCCAATCAATCATAGATTTGGTTTCTTTACATAATCCCCCCACCTCTCATAGGCTTTGCTCATTCTTTTTAGACTTTTTTAGTCTTTTCTACTTGGTTTTTGTCAAATTGGGTTAGTTCAATATTTTGATCTTTAAGCTCTGAGATTTTTTTTTTCCTTTTCCTGCTCAGTTCTACCCCCTAGGCCTATAACTGTGCTCTGGAAGAAATTCTTCATTGCCAGGATTTCAGATTGAACCTTTCTTATATTGGCCAGTTCAACTTTTACTTCTTGCACTACTTTTGTTAACTGGGTGATCCTTGTTTCCAACATCTCATGGTTTCCTTAACCGTATTCACCATGCAACGTCTGAATTATGTGTCTGTCACCAGGAACAGATTGCTCTGTATGGATTCTACTGTTTGAGAAACGGGAGGAACTTTTGTAGGTAATGCCTCTTTAAGGCTTTGAGGATTGTCAATGTTTTTCCATCGATTCTTCTTCACCTGTAAGGATCGACTATTCTATTTTTTTTTTTTTTTTTTTTTTTTTTTTTTTTTTTTTAGTTTTATTGTTTTGTAGTTAGCTATGGCCTAGCTGTCCTAAGGTCTTTTGTGCTGTTCAAAATGGTTCACACAGGGAAAGGGGGGCCACTACTTTCACTCCATCGCTCTTGAGAATGGTGATCAGAACTCAAAATGACTTTCTGCTGCAAAGTTAAAAAGATATTTGCAAGTAAAAGATGTTCATTGAGAACAAATCTATATGATAAGAAATGCTAAAGAAAGATCTTCAGTCTGAAAGGGAAGTGATACCATATGGTAATTTGGCAGGAGATTCTACAATGAAGAAAATATGAATTCAGCAGAAAGACATAAGAATCTGAACTGTATGCACCCAATAAAAGAGCATCAAAATACATTAAACAAAAACTGATTGAATGATGGGTATAGAGAGATAAATACAAAATCATAGTTAGACGCTTTAATATTCTCTTTCAATATTGATAACAACTGGATTAAACAAACCAACAAGTAAGACTATAGATCTGAAAGATAGTGACTTCAAAAGTGATGTTAGAGTCTTCTCAGTGCAACATATCAAGGAATTCATGTTATCTGTCTGTTTCAACTTTGGATTAGACAGTAGGGTGTCAATGTTAAATTTTCTGATTTTTATAATTGCACTGTGGTAATATAAGAGAATATTTTTGTTCTTAGTAACAACATACTAAAGTATTTAGGAGTAAGGAAATGATGTTATGCCTCATTTGCAAATAGTACAGAAAAAAACATACAGATAGACGAACAGAATGATAAAGCAAATGGGGCAAAAGTAAACGATTGATGGAGTTGGCTAAAGGGCTTACAGGAGTTTTTCTTTATTAACAAAAAAACTTAAGGGGCTTTATAGGAGTTACTTTTACTATTCTTCGGTTTACAGGAGTTACGAGTTACTTTTACTATTCTTGAAAGTTTCCTGTAAGTTTGAAGTTATATCAAAATAAAAAGTTATCAAAAATAATGCTTTGGTAATATGTTTAAATAAAATAAATATATCACATTAATATTATCATGTTAATCAATACATAAGGCCATTGTTAGTCAAAATTGAAAGATATTTATTAATTTTAATTAATATTTATTAATTTTCTCATTTGACGTTAGCAAAATGCACAGATAAGCAATAAACTAATATTAAACAGACATACAAGATGATTCAATAGTTTACATAAGATTATATGTTTTTGAATTAAGTGTTATTTTAATGGGACATACTATTGTTATCTCTTTAAATATACTTCTAAAAGCAGTTAAAAGAGTGGAAAGCTTGTTTCGAGAATGTGCTTATTACTATTATAAAGTAATAAACATGAGTTTTAGTATGGTAACACATTTTAAAAACCTACAGAACACAAAATATATACTTCAGCACAAAATTCAACACTGTTTTTATAAACAGACATCACATTGCCACGAAGGTACCACAACACTGCAAATATTAACAAAAATTTGACTAATTAATTTGACTTATTAATGTCTACAAACCAGTTCTTGATAGACAAAAATATTTTGTTCAACTGGCATGGAAAAATAGGCCACTATTGAGTGGCAATTTAATTCTCTTCTTGACACTATTAAGCTGTGTCCTCAGTATTACAGCACAAATTAGATAAGCATGTGGCTTCAATAGAGTATTTTCAGAATCTGATCTAGAGCACATAAAGATACAAATTTTTAAATAGAAATATTGTTATCCTTGCTTTCAGAAAAACATTAGTATGAAACTTAATAATTATCATTGACATTAAATTATTGAAAAGATAATTAATAGAACTTTCAAACTGTCAGTGATTCTTGAAAATGATAGTTTTGATCACCAGTAGGGGGACACACCAGTATTTCATAGAATCACAGCCAAAAGAGACTTGATCCGGTCAATATCTAGTCCCTT